TTTCGAAGTATTAAAAAATTGAGTTTTTGAAAAAGTTGCTTAAAAAATCCCAAAAAATTCTGAGACATACATTTTGACATGCCAAATGGAAAAATGTATCTAGCGTGTTTATGATACTGGAACCAGATTTTAGAAATATCCGGTTTGTAATTTAATTTTTTTAAATAATCCTAAAAGTTGCCACATTTCAATTGATCATTATGAAAAAATTGTGGGAGTTTCATTTGCCAAAATCGGTTTTATTTTCAAAGGTACTAATCCGCCCACCCTCCCTGTCTTTTATTAGAGGGTATGTCATTTGCCAGAATCGGTCTTATCTTAACAGGTATTAGCCCCGCCCACCCACCCTCTCTTTTCTTAGAGGTATCTCATTTGCCAAACTGAATTTAATCTTAGCAGATACTAGACTAGTACTTATTAAGGTAACACTGATTTTAGTAAATAACTGAACAGTATTAAAAGTAATCACTGGAATGAAGAGCGGGTGGGTGGGCGGGGCTATTGCTTGCTTACAAAAGGTTCTATAGGAAAGAGTTTTACTTAACCCCACCCACCCACCCGTTCTCTAATTTTTTTAGTAAATGACTGAACAGTATTAAGAGTAATCAGTGACATGAAAAGGGGGTGGGTGGGCGGGGCTATTGCTTGCTTACAAAAGATTCTATAGGAAAAAATTTGACTTAACCCCACCCACCCACCCGTTCTATCATTTTTTTGGTAAATGACTGAATAGTATTAAGAGTAGTATCACTGGAATGAAGAGGGGTGGGTGGGCGGGGCCATTGCTTGCTTACAAAAGATTCTATAGGAAAATTTTGACTTAACGCCACCCACCCACCCGTTCTCTCATTTTTTTGGTAAATAACTGAACAGTATTAAGAGTAATCACTGGAATGAAGAGCGGGTGGGTGGGCGGGGATATTGCTTGCTTACAAAAGATTCTATAGGAAAGGTTTGACTTAACCCCACCCAGCCACCCGTTCTCTAATTTTTTTGGGTAAGTGACAACTAGAGATGTACCGACTATAGTCCGCCGAAGTCGGCTTTGTTAAAACCGGTTAAAATTGGTTTAATCGACCGAAAATTGGTGTCAAAGTGTAGATAATCTTCCGCTAGTTACGATTCTGAAATCGCCGTCACGATATCTGGTCCAATAAACACGCAAAGCGAATCCAAAATTTCCAAAAATTTTCCAAAAAAGTGGTTCAAACTGATTAAGGTATTGTATAAACTGCCCTAAATTGTGTTATTCTTTATTTTTGTACTGAGTTACTACAAAAAATTAAATGTTAAAATTATCCAAACAAATTTAACACATTTTTTGGAAAACCAAGAAACTTTAGTTATTCCTTTTATTAAAATAAAACAAGGTTTTAAGGTAGTCAAAGAAATAGAAAAAAAAACACACTGTCTGTTGCACTTATAAACCGGTTTTAGCAAAGCGGAACAGTCGGCCGACTATAGTCGGTACATCTCTAATGAGAACTAATAGCACTTTGGCTGTTAAAAAAAGAAAAAAAGCCCTAATCGTAATTTTTTGTTATACAATCTGCGATAAGATTGTTATGTTATAAATAAATAAATAACTTTATTAGTACGTAGTTACAAAATATGTTTCGTACAAGTCATATCATTACCTATAGCTATGAACAACTCAGTCTGTTTATATCTTTATCTGTAAGATAATCTTCTATGTTAAAATATGCTTTTTTACCTAAATATTCTTTGATTTTTGTTTTAAAGTTTGGCATATTAAGTTCTTTAATAGACATCGGCAATTTATTAAATAGTTTCACACAAAAATAATTTACACTATTTTGATTTTTTTTTAATCTAACCTTACTTAAACATAGCGCACTATTGTTTCTAGTGTCATGACTATGTATTTCGTTGTGTCGTTTATAGTCTGCAGTGTGAGATTTAACATAAATAAGGCAATTGAGAATATAAATACTAGGTAGAGTAAGAATATTTAGTTCGATAAAGTGCTTTTTGCAGTGTTCCCTAAATTTAGCTCCTGCCAAAATGCGTATTGCTCTTCGTTGTAGTTTGAACAACCGCTCGAGAATGCACGAATGACCCCATACAAGAATTCCGTATGTTAAATGAGACTGGCATAGTGCAAAATAGGCCATATTATAAATATAGCAAATACTAGCTCCCCCCACCCGTCCTCTATTTTCCTAGAGAGTTTATAATTTGCCACAATCAGTCTTATCTTAGCAAGTATTGGTGTGACCTGATCTCAAAAAAATCGAAAAATTAAAAAAATTAAAAGTTGAAAAATTTCACATTGAAAAAAGAAAAGTTATAAAATAAAACATTGAAAAACCGAAAAATTTTAAAAATAAAGAAAATAAAATACCAAAACGCAAAACTGCAAATCGAAAAATTACAAGAAGAATTCTTAGACGGTATGTTATTTGCTACAATGAGTCTTATCTTGGCAAGTACTAGCCCTGCTCACCCGCGCTGTTCTCATTGTAACGATTTTATTTCTGTTGTGTATAAGATCAAAATCCATCTTTCATTTTGAGCAGATACAATGAAATACTGAAATGGAGCGGGGTGGGTGGGCGGGGTTAGTTATATGTTCTACTGTGAAGAGAAAATGGGAACTAATAGACCGTAGGCTGCAAAAAAAAAAGAAAAAAATGTGCTAATCGTGACTTTGTATTATACTATTTGTTTTTATTAGAGAACGGGTGGGTGGGCGGGGCAAGTTTAACTTTTCCCTGCAGGGTTTTTTATAAGAAAGTAAAAAGTTGAAGAAATTGGGCTATCATCACAACGAAGCGGCAAATCTCACGAATTTTTCGGTCTTTTATTTTCGTTATTCTTTCACTTATTTGATTTTTCAGTGTTTCGATTTTTTTTTTTTTTCATTTTTAAGATATGCTATTTCTCAAGTTTTCATCATATTTGCAATTTCTCCAATTTCAATTTTTCAATTTTTATTTATTTATTTATTTGTTAAAATTTGCTACGCTAAGACTGATTTTAGCAAATCACATACCGTCTAAGAAGACAGAGGGCGGGTGGGTGGGCCTAGTACATGCTAAGACAAAACTAATTTTGGCAAATCATATACCCTCTAAGAAAATACAGGGTGGGTGGGCGAGGCTAGTACTTACTAAGATAAGATTGAATAGTATTAAGAGTAGTCACTCGAATGAAGAGGAGGTCGGTGGGCGGGACTACTGCTTGCTTATAAAACTCTTTATAAAAACCCTAGACTCAGCTCCGCCCAACTCTTGTCGCAATTTCACTGACTTATTTCATTTACTGTAAAATGTGAATTTAAAACAAAGTAAAAAGAGGCCCCTCCCACCCACCCTTATTCCGTTTTCACCATTCATTCTTATGGCTCTAAAGAAAGAATTTCACCAGTTTCCAATTTGTTAATACTCAATTTTTGGATTTTTCAAATTTAAAATTTTAAAATCGGAAGAAATATTGAAAAAAATAAAGGAATTTGTAAAAAGGAAAAATTGTGATATGAAATCGAGAAAATGACAATTTGAAAGAATTGTTAAAGTGTTTTATTTAGTAACGAGAAAAATATTTCAGTATTAAATTTCAGACAAATTACAAGTGAAAATAGAAAACTGTAGAAGACGGAGTCATAAACCACACCTACAGGGGTACATAGGTTAATTAAATTTTGGACTGATATCATCAAATTGTTGGTAGGACTGATTAAACAAATCTTGAATAACATTTTACCATCGCCACGATATTCCCTAAATATACAGGGTGCGCGTTATAGGAAATTTCATTAATTATTAGAAACAGAAAAAAAATACAGACCATAGTTGTACGGCTATTTGAGAACCACACTCTAGAATTATTTTTAGCTATACAGAGGGTCTTGTTTTTAATGGAAGGGTTCACAAAAAAATCACAAAAGATAATAAGTACGCCCTTTGTTGTGGTATAAATGAGATTAAATTTTCATATACAGAGTGTTTACAACTTACAACAAAAAAGTTTTAATTGTTACAATTTTCGATCTTTCAGTTTTTTCAAATAGAACAGCCTATATTTTATTACTGTATCTGATTCTATTTTTTGTTCTATTTCTTTTTCGTTGAGTATTTTCTGAATTTGAAGCTGATAGTTACTGCGAGTTTTACTTTTTTAAGAGAGATATCGACATATTTGAAGAATCGGAACAAAATCGAGTACGATACACTAATAAAATACAGGGTGTTCAATTTGAAAAAACTGAAATATCGATATTTGAAAATTGTAAAATTAGAATTTTTTATGAACACTGTGTATATTAAAATTAGGACAATTTGAAAGAATCATTGAAGTATTTTATTTAGTAACGAAAAAAATATATCGGTATTAGATTTCAGACGGAAATTACAAGTTAAAATACAAATTGCTGCGAAATTTTGAAACCCTAGGGTAAAACTTAAGGCGGATTCATGAACCCCAAGCCAAATATTTAAATAGCTTTTACCATGCAGAATTTTGAAATGATGTCCTAAAATTATTGATAAGGATGATAATACAAAAATCGACAGACGACAGACAGACGAAAACGGAAGACATATTTTTTCATACTGTAGGAGTTGAAAAAACGTGAAAGTAGCTGGAAAAGGAAAAAAACCTCATCGTTCTCACTAAGAAATGCAGGAGCAAAACACGAGCCGCTTACGAGCCATAACTTATCTAAGCGCTCTAGAATAGGAAACATTCTAGAACGGAATAGTCGAGAGCACTTCATAAAAATAAGTGTCGTCGTCAGAAACAGCTCAACGCCGTGTAGACCCGTGACAACAAATCAAAAAAAACAGCTCATATTAGAACATCTGTTCATTTAGAGTCGTAGTGTAATAACCGTCGTCAAACCCGACCCACGCCAAATCCCGCCAGTCTGGCAATCATTTCCATGAGGCAATCCTGCATTAAACGTCCGCTGCACGCCCTCGCCGCTACAAATGCATCTAATCTCCCCCCAATAAACTCGCTATTCTTATTACACTCACTTGCTCAAACTAACTCCATTATTGATAAACTCGTGATGGTGCAGCACCGACTCGTTCCACGGAATATCCAAGAACTTGAGCACCCTCTCCATCCACTTCCTCGGATGCAGCACCAATTGTTCATACGGCACCTTCAGGCACCTGTTCGGTCCCAGCTCTTTGCACTGATTATTCATGGCTTCGACCGCACTGTTCCACTTTTTCAGGCACTGCCTGTAACTCGACAGATCGAAGCCCGTTATCGTCACTTTGCGCGTTATGATCGAATGAGCGGTGGCGCGGCCGTCCCGCACCATGAAGATGAATTTCGCGTTGGGGAAGAGGTCCACCACGTACGTCCCCATTTTAATAGTGAGAGGGTCTTTGTTGCAGAGGCGAGGCGCCGGTTCGCCGTGCTTAACTATTATCTCTAGGGTGAACGCGGCGATGGCGGAATCGAGGACAGCTTTGGTGATTCCGGCCTCCTCGAGACGCAGGGACTCCTTCTCGGACTTGAGCCAGTGGAAGCGGAGCTGGAGAAGACGGGGGATTACGCGGGTTTCTTGCCCACACCTGCAACAAATATAGTCGTTTAGGGAAAAAGTTGCCTCGATGCGAAATAAAAAGGTCATTAGCTGAGGGCTTTTTACGGTTATGCTGCACGAGGACCCTAATATTACCTTTACTCTTTGTTTAGATCTGGGAGGGTCAGTTATTCGGTTTGGGGATTATCGGGAGCCAAGATTATATGGTGCGGATGAGTGTGACTGGCCTTTTTGTGCGGCTACGGTCATTAAGCTGAAGTACGTCCACTAAGTCCGGGATTATACAGTGTGTCCGCCATTTGTGGAACAAAATCCACGAAAAAAATCCGGGAATATACTAAATTCCCAGATGAAGTGGTTTCAAGTCAGCTACATTAAACACAAACCTCGACTCACTTTTTTTATCGTCAAAATCTACTGTCAATTAATCCGAGAAGCGTAGCTGCTGAAACGCGTCAAGTTTAATCAAATTTTCACTACACTTGAATTGCCGAAATGGGTTACAAAAACGCTCGACATCTATCAACGCTGACCTGAAATTTTCATATTTCATCTGAAACACCTGCTGTAAGTGCTCACAGCACGGACGGAAAATCGTATTTGTTATTTTTAGTGGCGTATAAAAAAGAACTTTCTAAAAGCATTTCGCAGTTTCCTTTTCGCATTATCATCGAAGGTTTGACAAATACCTTCCCCAAATCAAATATTTCACAAACAACGTAGTCGAGAATTTGGCCTTGTCCGAATTTTGTAAAAATGTTTGATTCGTTCAAAGTCGCAAATTAACAGACACTTTTACGTGTTGTGGAAAAAAAAATTATGGTGCGTTATGACAATGATGCAGCATATTTCAGTTTACGGCGGAGAAAAAAGCCGAAGCTTGGAACAGGATTTATTTCCTTCCACAGAAAGTGATTTGCTTAAAGCAAGCTTTAGGCAAAACATGGACAAAACAAAGTGGATGTTGTGGATTTTTATTTTTTGCTGTTTCGGGTTTAAGGTCAAAGGGCTCGATGGGTAAAGTTAAAAAAATTACAAAGACAAACAGGCTTTTTAAAACGTATTACGCTACGAGATGAATTTATACAGATTGTAAATTATGAATATATGAGATTCTCTACTTTATGTTGCAGAAGGCAAGCTTTATGCATGCTTTTATTACCCGACGTTTCTTGACCGCTAGGGTGCGAAATAAGTGGTCTCCCATTTCCAATGTTTGCCATCTGTGTTCATATTTATTACACCGATTGTGGTCAAATCTTGTATGTGCATTAAGAATATCATGTAGATGGTATTCAAAAATTGGTCGAAGGTTATTTCGACAGAACTTCCCTCGCCCGTCAAGTGCAGCACAACAATTAATACTCCCCCAGAAGGCGCAAATTGAAAAATGAAATATACTTAAAATAGACAACAAATCGGAAAAATCGAAAAATCAAAAACTTTAAAAATCAAAAAATCAAACCACCCAAAAATCGAAACATTAAAAAAATAAAAAAATTATAATTGAAAAGTTTTCAATATTCAAATCCTGAAAAATTGAGTACTGAAACCTTGAAAAATTGAGAAATCCAAGCATCAAAAAATAGTAAAATCGAAAAATGTAAAATTTAAAAAATCCAAAAATTGAGAAATAAAATAAAAGAAATTTCCTAAATTTAAAAACTCGAAAAATTGAAAAATTAAAATATCGAAAAATTGAAGAATTGGGAAACCGAAACACCAAAAAATAAAAAAAAACACAAATCTAAAATTCAAAAATAAAAAAATTGAACATTCGTAAAGCCAAAAAGTAGAAAAATCGAAACATTGGAATGTTTAAAAACTGAAACATCGAGAAATCAAAACATCAACAGTAGTAGTCAAAAAATAAAAAAATTAAGAAATCAAATTAGACCAAAATTGAAAAATCGAAAAGTTAATAATTGAAAAATCTAAAATTGAGAAATGGAGAAATGGGAAAATCAAAAAAATTGGTCTAAAGAGTTTAGACAGTACTTCCCTCGCTATCGGAAACGTGACGACTGCATGCCTATTATGTTTTTTTTTCACATTAGATTTCAAAGCATTCGGTTTTGTATTTCCTGATTAAATCAATAAAATAAATTTGCGCATTCATTAAATTTTTTGACTAACCCTATATATCCGAATCCAAAAAATATGAGTGGAATAATAAATTACAAGAAACGACTCATCATATTTTGTACATTTTAAATAGGATTATTCGGTAAACTTTATCAATTTTTTGGAGGGGATAAGCAAATATATTTTGACAAAAACTTTATTATGCTCTTTATAACCTTAAAACATTTGCAAGATTTCAAAGCATTGGGTTCTGTAGTTCCTGATTAAATCAATAAAATAAATTTACGCATGAATTAATTTTTGGGGTCATCCTGTACATGCAAATCCAAAAAACATGAATGGAATGATAAATCACAAGAAGAGACTCATCATATTTTATACAATTTAGATAGGATTTATTTAGCAAAATTTTGGGGTGGCGTCATCCATTTTTTAGGAGGGACGAGCAAATATATTTTGATCAAAAATTTATCATGTTTATGATAAATTTAAAACATTTCCAAGATTTCAAAGCATTCGGTTTAGTAGTTCCTGATTAAATTAATAAAATAAATTTGGGCATTCATTAAATTTTTTGAGTAACCCTATATATCCGAATCCAAAAAATATGAATGGGATGATAAATTATTTTGAGGTGACGTCATGAATTTTTTAGAGGGGATAAGTAAATATATTGTGATTAAAACGGTCCTGGTTTAATAACAAAAAAATATTGTTCGTCTATGAAACAAGCTCGTCTTAAACAAAGTATTCGTAAAAAAAATATGTCGTAAAAAATGTACGTATGCTGGTCCCGATTGCGATTATGGTTTAAATATTTGTTAGATAATCCTGACATGGATGTAGAAACATTTGTGACAGCCAAAGACGTTTTTTTGAGAAAATTATCTTTGAATTTAGACCAAATTGAAATAGACACTAGGCAACAGGCACATTTGGGCAAAAGAAAGAGAAATTAGGGTTACGGCTTCAAATTTTGGACGTATTTACAAACTTAGACCGACTACAGCAATAGCTAAAACTGTGGAGTCTCTGTTGTACAGTACATTTAAAGGTAATAATAATACATACTATGGACAGCAAAGTGAGGAAAAAGCTGTCAAGTGTTTTGAAATAAATAAAAATATAAAAACTCAACGGTGTGGCTTGTTTATTTCAAAACAATTTCCTTACTTGGCTGCTAGTCCAGACAGGGTTCTAGAGGATAGGAGTGCATTAGTCGAAATTAAATGCCCTTCAAAATCGCAAGATTTTTCTCCCGAAGAAGCGGTTAGAAAAAAAAAATTAAATTTTGTATATTGACAGACGGAGAATTGAAACTAAAAAGAAATCATGATTACTACTTTCAAGTCCAGGGACAAATGCTTGTTACGGGTATTTCACAAGTTTATTTTTTTGTGTGGACACCCAAAGGAATTAATATAGAAAAAAATTATAAAGACGAAGAAATATGTAAAAAGATGGCAGATAAACTTGGCAGATTTTACTTTGGTGCATTATTGCCCGAAATAATTGATTTACGAAGAAAGAGGAACCTGCCTTTGCGAGACATTTTTTTTAAAATAAATAAAATTTGTTTCTATTTTTTTATGTACTTTAATAATTTATTAGGAGTACATTTTTCATCACCAAGACTTGCATATTTTTATTATAAATATATTTTGAAAATGATCTCTCGGCAAATGAAAACATATACGAGCACTTTTTTCGAGTAAACAATGAAGGGAGAAGTTACTGGGCGTAGGGCTTTTTTAAAACACCTCCTTTCTGTGATAAGTAGTAGATACACTTAGCTACTTATACGTGTTAAACAAAAGATGTATTTTATACATTTTTTGTTACCATTATAAATATGTTTATTAGTTTTATTAATTAACAAAGTAAAATATATATTAACAATAATATTACAATGAATTTTTGGTAATCATGTGTATTAAATTTAGGATCCTGAGTGGAGTAAAAATATTATAGTTCCCCAGTTTTAATTCGATTTTATGATAGTACCTCATTGCGTAAAAGTTAAATTCCTTAACAATAGATTACTACGGCCGATCCTGGCGGCTTGTTATAAAACTGAGTTCCTTGCCATAAATTAGAAAAATCAGCCGAGAACGTTAACAATCAGTTTATGGTAGAGCAGGCGATAAGGGTTTCACCTGGAAAGTCGTTTCCGTAAATTTTAGTGGCGTTCCTATCGGCAAAGTACTGAACTAACGGCTCAAATTCTGTCGAATTGATACCCATTTTTTTCAATAATTGTTAGTTTTTGTTAAAAACTCTGCTAAGCAATAGATCATTAATTTTCCTCTGATATTCCTGTTAAAATTATTCGACGTATTTTGCTTTAATTTGTGGTATATTTTGATTTTAATAAACACATTATTATTTAAACAAATTGTACCACTAACAAACATTTAATGACTCCGCGCCCTGTAAAAAGTAATGTTTTATCCATGTGCGAATTTTCAAGCGATTCTATGATGGTTATGACTCAAAAAACTTGAAAAGAAAACATACAATGGCCCTTTTTTTAAGATATTTCTCAGCCATATTTTTTTAATTGATTGAACTGGTCTCTGCGCTCTAGAATATGAAAAAAGCTGCAGTTTGATGTATGATACATCTATATTAATATCATTGTTTCATACAAAAAACCAAAAAAATGTTATACCTCGTCTAGCGAGTCCCCGTAAGCTGAAGTACGTCCACTAAGTCCGGGATTATACAGCGTGTCCGCCATTTGTGGAACAAAATCCACGAAAAAAATCCGGGAATATACTAAATTCCCAGATGAAGTGGTTTCACGTCAGCTACATTAAACACAAACCTCGACTCACTTTTTTTTTATCGTCAAAATCTACTGTCAATTAATGCGAGAAGCGTAGCTGCTGAAACGCGTCAAGTTTATTCAAATTTTCACTACACTTGAATTGCCGAAATGGG